GTGAGCAGCGTGTGCCTGTGTGTGCGCCACGGCCGCGACCGCTGCCCCCGCCGCGCGGAGAGAGAGCCTGGGAGAAGCACAAACCCTGCATCCAAAATGCCACGCTCCTTCCTGGTCAAGAAACATTTCAATTCATCCAAGAAGCCGAATTACAGCGAGCTGGACACTCATACAGGTAACAGAACGAACTGTAGTGGCACCGCGTGGCTCCTGAGGCTGCGGTCGTTGCGTGGCAGTGCTGCGGGGGGTGGGATTGCTTCCAGGCTGGAGGGTTAGTTCACTGCTCGCTCTATTTTGTCCTGCTTACAAGGAAGGAGTTCTGAGAAATATGTCAGTGCTGACCAGAATGAATCACAAAAGTTTGCTCACCCACTTGAACTCAAGTTACTTAGAGAGGATTTGGGAGTTTTCCTGTTCTGTCTCTGCTAGTGGTGGAATTAAAACTTTTATCCAAATCCTTCAGGAAGTTTCACTGCTTCATTGTGTCAGGCTGCATACATTTAGAAGCAGCATGCTGCCTTGAAGAGACTCTCCAGCTGCAATTTGCCTGTTCAAGGGCACTGTCTCTACCCATCAGCATATATGTATGAAGCTGTATTTCCTTAATCCTTCTTATATTCAGATCACCTTACTAAGTGTTTAATTTATGCAGCTTTTAACCCCTAAAATGTTCGTTTTGCTGCCTTTTGAAATATTTTTTGGCTCTCTTACCTTAATTTTCTTTTTTCTTTCTCCAGTAATTATATCACCATACCTGTACGACAGCTATCCAGTCCCTATCATACCACAGCCAGAGATCCTAAGCTCAGTAGCTTACAATCCCATTACTGTGTGGACTACAACTGGGCTGCTACCGTCTCCATTACCCAATGACCTCTCTCCACTTTCTGGATACCCCTCATCTTTGGGAAGAGTCAGCCCACCTCCAGCTTCTGACACCTCCTCCAAAGATCACAGCGAGCGGTTCAGACCATTAGCGATGAAGAAGAGAGAATCCAGTCGAAGCTTTCCGACCCTCATGCAATCGAAGCTGAAAAGTTTCAGTGCAGTTTATGCAGCAAGACCTATTCAACTTTCTCTGGGTTGGCCAAACATAAGCAGCTGCACTGTGATGCCCAGTCTAGGAAATCATTCAGCTGCAAGTACTGTGACAAGGAGTATGTCAGCCTGGGAGCGCTTAAGAAGAAGAGAGAATCCAGTCGAAGCTTTCCGACCCTCATGCAATCGAAGCTGAAAAGTTTCAGTGCAGTTTATGCAGCAAGACCTATTCAACTTTCTCTGGGTTGGCCAAACATAAGCAGCTGCACTGTGATGCCCAGTCTAGGAAATCATTCAGCTGCAAGTACTGTGACAAGGAGTATGTCAGCCTGGGAGCGCTTAAGATGCACATCAGGACCCACACACTACCTTGTGTCTGCAAGATCTGCGGCAAGGCTTTCTCTAGACCCTGGCTGCTTCAAGGACACATTCGAACTCACACTGGTAAGAACAAGCATTACATTTGCAGTTTCTTGTTGCTGTAACATCAGGATGCCTTTTTGCTATTTTTCTCCACAGGTGGAAAAACCAGCAGTGTTTCTTAACTAACCTTGACATGCATCCACAGAATTTAAAATGTGTCATTAAAAGGCCAAAGTCTCCCTCTTGGGGAGTGGGTGGGAGGGGAGCGTAGCATGGTCTCATAACTGTGGGCCAGATACTGGCATAAATCAGCATTGTTCCCTTGATAGTTTTGGGATGTTTAGCCCGTTCTGACTGGCTGAAGGTATTGCTTTAAGGATTTTGTATTACTTTCTGGCTTTGGAAATTAAGAAAGCTCCATCTGATCCTGAAATCAGACAGCATAAAACAGGAAGGCAATGCATGAGGGGCTGCTTTCTGACTCCTTAAGCACCTGGCAGGTTTTGCATGCGCTATCTCAATTCCTTAAGAATTAGAAACACATCATCAACAAAGTGGGTTTTTTTTTCTGTTGAGGCAAAAACTTGGGTTTGAGTGTAACACTGGGTACTATGTAATGTCTGTACTGCTGTTTGCTGCTTTTCAGTCAAAACCCTTGTCCCCAGTAATTCACGCAGCACTAAGCAGAAAAATTCTATGAAAATATTTGAAGATGTTGGGAGGGACCCAGGCTGAAAGTACTGCCTGCACCTGTAGATGCAGAAAGTGTCAGCAGCTCATCTTCTGAGACTGCACTTTACAGCATGTGCTGAATAGACTGGAGTTCTGCAAATACAGTAAGGAGTGCTGAAAGCTGCTGTGTCTGTGTCCTGATTAACCTCTTGTTACACTTTTTTTTTTTTAATTACAAGTCCTTTCTGTTTGTTCATTTGTTTCTTAGGATAAAAGCAGGTTTTACCTGTCCTAAACATGTGCTTCTGTTTTTAAAGCTTTATCCTATTTTCTCTTGATGTTTCCTTTTTAGGAGAGAAGCCGTTTTCCTGTCCTCACTGCAACAGGGCTTTTGCAGACAGATCCAATCTGAGGGCTCATCTGCAGACCCACTCGGATGTGAAGAAATACCAGTGCAAAAATTGCTCCAAAACTTTCTCCAGAATGTCTCTTCTGCACAAACACGAGGAATCTGGCTGCTGTGTAGCACACTGAGTCATGCAGTGAATGTTTACCTGGACTCAAATGCATTTCTCCACTCCTGTTCCAGATGATAAGTGGAAATCCAAAGGCGTTTTTCTCGTCTACTCTTCAGCCAAAAAACCCACCAACCAACAACAAACCAAAACTCCACCAAACAAGCAAACAAATAAAATAGTGGAAGAACTTAAAATGTCAGTAGAAATGAGCTTTAAGTAGTTTCTGTTCAGCTATACATTCACATTCTAAAGTGTGAATTCTGAAATATGGGGAAAGACGCCATGCATGACATTTCAAGTAGATCTAAAGGAAGAAGCATTATCAGCTTTCTTTATAGATGAAGCCAAATATAGGTTGTCTTTTCTTGATTAGAAAAGGCTGCAAAGTTAACAATACATTCCTGCCAAGCCATTTCAACCAAAGAAACAGTATTTTAAGTGGAATTCTTAATAAAAATACTACCCAAGTGAATTTTGCTAGACACCATTTATCTCAGGTGCCTTAAAAAGTATTCCAAGTTTACCTTAGTAAATGTTTAATGTTATTCATTGCTGTGTTTTTTATTTTATTTTATTAAAAGCCAAGGCCTTCATTAATGATCTGAAATGCTTTAAAACTGCATAATTAAGAGAGGGAAAAAAAGTATAAGAGAATGTAAGAAAAATTGAAAGCCACAAATTAACCGCATGTGCCTTTAAAAAAATAGACAAAAAGACAATAATACTGTAGCTTCAAACATTCCTGGTGCATGCTTGACCATCTTTTAATATGAAATAGTTCCTCTAAACTTCAATCTTTTATAAAAAACGGGAATAAGTGCAAGAGAGGGGGTTCACGGGAGTTTTACAATTTATTTTTTTTAAATGCACAAAGAAAATGCAATATTTTCAGCATTACCCCTCCAAGTGCCTTTTTTATTGATGATTTTGTAAAGTATGTGGACATAATGTAAATATTTTTATTTTTATATGATTGAGTGTGTTATGAGTGAAAGCAAATTGTTGCCTATAGCAGCATCTATAGATAACTTGAAGAAAGTGTGAAGTGAAATTTATGTTGTTTTCTAGCCACTTTTTTACAATAAACATTTTTAAGTAATATTTCTGTTGTTTGCTCTAATTAAAGAAAGCAACCATGTCTGCTTTGGAACATAGAAAAATGTGAATGTCTCTTCATGACCAAATGAAGATTAAAGTGAATTTCGGAAGCAAACCCGTAGTTCACAAGTTTTGAACACTAGAAAAAAATATACCCATTGCATTTTAAAACATTTAAAGCCATATAGTAATTTTTTCTAGAGTCACTGCTTTAAAACACTTGTCTTTCTGCTACTTGCGACAGTGTGACAACGTTGTGAAATATATTTTATCAAAAACATTCAAGAGAAACTTCTTTCTTGGATTTTAACACATGAAAGATGCTATTAGAGCAGCCTTATTATAGTACATTCCCTGGGACTCTGACATCAGGGAATCTGGGCCTGATCCAAAAGTTCATTAAAGTCAGTGGAGCCTTACAGGAGTTCAGCAATGTTTGCATGATGCTCTTTTAAAGTAGTAGTCAAGTCACAGTATGATATACTTTATATGCAATTTCAAGAAGATTAAAGATATTTTGATTAAAATATATTACATATCAGAACTGTCTAGTGAATGTTTTACAACTGTATATCAGCTAATAAATCACCGGAAAGAATTATTCCATCATAAAAAGTAGAAATATTTTCATTCAGATGATTTGACTAAGGACTCCCAAGATCTGAACTACATAAAAGCATTACAACATCAACAAATCATGTCTCATCATTACTGACTGGTGCAAAATAACACAGTTTTCAACTTTTAACAAAGTACAAAGCTAGAAAACAGATAAACACCAGTTGGCACCCAGTCGAAAGACTGCTGTGTCTACACTGGGGTACCAGCATGAACAAGTAATAGCAAAAATAAAATTCCAGCACTTGAAAAATAATGTTACTGAGGTACAAATACAAGGTGCACATTTCTTGAAAAAGAGTGTTTCAGGAAAATGATGCAATAGACCATGCATGCCTTCTGTCCCCTCCAGCTGAGTTCTGCAGGGGAGGCTTCAGCTGCAGGGCTGCACTGGAGTAACATAGGCAGTAGACAAAAGTGCTGTGCTTTTTCTCCACAGGAAGCATGATACTGAAAAAAGATAAGCTCAAATCAAGCTTTCATATTCTCCAAGCATCTTCTGACAAAATCTCAGGGATATAATAATGATTCCCTAGAAGCTGCTAGATTTTTTTTCTCAGGAAATAGCTAGAGAGTTCAAGAAAGATAGGCTTAGTGGGAATTTGTGAGGTAACATTTCAAAATGAACACATGAAGGCATCAAATACCCTTGAAAAGTTTCATGTGGTTACTCTATTGATTTGCACTTCCATGTCATTCACTTTGAAGTTCTTAGGCTCCAGCAGCTCTTTGTGCAGCTTTCTCTTCCCAGAGCAAAGTTTACTGGAATATGAGCAAAGCTCTGGCAGTCAACAGCTATTTGTACTGTCAAAGTTCTAGGTTTGCTCTGCTGTGTTGTGCCGCAAAGGCTTTTCCATTGTTTTAATTCACACTTTAAATTCTCTACGCCCATATTAAATGAAACAGCATAAGAGCTTGACTTCTTGAATGAGTGGAAATGCTACTGTTGTCCTTAAGGGAAATCAGATGAAAACTTCATCAAAATACAGTATGCTAAATCAAACACAAGTGGAACTGGTCTGATTTGGAGATGACAATTAAGATATGCTACTTTGCATGCCTGTAACACCTGTACTCATAAAACACAAAGATGGGAAAGGCTAGAAGCTCTTCTGGCTCATCTCTTTAATTGAAACAGAGCACTCTATCACAGATCCCTAGCTCTCTGTCCAGTTGCAGCATAAACTTCCCAGGCAGCTGAATTTCTCTGTTTTTCCTGTGTGACTGCTTTTCATTCCCTGTCAGGACATTTCTCCAAAACATATTCCATTAATAGTTTTGCCTCATTAGCTTAGAAATGCCCTTCTGCACCTGCACAAGCTATTTATCAATGTAAATTGAATTCTGTTCTGAGCTGTTGGCCAATGACTCCTATGACTTTCTCGAAACACGCTCTGTGGTGAATCTGCCCATTACATTTCCTTGGCCATTGCAACATTTCTCACAGACATTTCTTATTCTATATCCAAATAATAACTTTTTAAGTATTTCTTAGGAAAATGTGATTCCTGCACTCTGAATATCTTCATTGCTCTTTTCTGAAATCCGTTACTTCTTTACTTTTAATTTTTGACACCAGTGCTAAATGTAATTCTTCTAAGTGGAGTTAAGCTATCAAAAGACCAATCTCTCCTCTAAAGGCACCTGAATGACAACAACCTATATACAACATGATTCATAGTTTTTTTAACTCTTCATTAATGAGTTGTTTAAAATCAGGAGATCCAGGTAAGGGACTTTTGCTTGGAAGTTACTCCAAATCTCTACATCGATGCTGTTATGTGATTGCCCATTAGAGGGAATGAGGTCCAGATCCTTCCGTTAGGATGTTCTGTCAATTTGCTTTCAATGTTCTTTCAGTGTCCAGATAAGAGCAGAGCCATCTGAGCACTTGTGCAGCAAAAAGTTGAATCTATGAGTTTCTCAAGGCTGAAGGCAATAATTGATTCACTTTGGTTTCCTTGCCCTCTTCCCTTGCTTCTGTTTGGGCATGCTTTTCATCTCAGAGGCTGCAGAATGAAGATGTGCATGAAATTAAAACAACAAAGTATACTTTTAGGCTCAAAGCACTGCAATTACCCTACTGTCTAATGTGGAGTTCGGAAAAGCACGTTATATACCCACCAAAGGGTTAAAAGAAGTGCCTCTCAGTCTAAGGCACCATGAAATCTGTCTTCTGTGTTTTTCTCTATTATTTGGATTATTATAGTTCCTGTTGTCATTAAGCAAGCTCAGGGGCTATTATGCTAAGCTCCAGAAAATCATATAAATACAAAGCATCCTAAAGATCTCATAATGTCAATTAAAAAGAAAGGACAATGCAAAATCTGGTAATTTAATTCTGCTGTCTTGTGCTACAGCTGATTTCCCTTGCCACAAAAATAAATCAATATTCAATTCAAAAACATATTTTTATTTTTGAACAATATATTTTCAATTATAAGTATTACTGCTTTAGAAATAATGGGTTTTACTAGCTGTCCCAAATGTTTGGTTTACTCTCTTGAAAGTGTGTGTTTTAAGAGTTAAGTTATATGAATTATAATTCCGATTCACAGAAATACGAGGAGTGGAAGGTGAGAACTGCACTCCAACCTGCATGTATTGTAGTATCAAATGATAGCTGCCAGAAATAAGAACAGACTGTGCAAGTGAAATCACAGAGTCAAGGAACAGCTGAGGTACGAAGGCACTTCTTGAGACTGACTAGTCCAACCCCTCTGCTCAAAGCAGGGTCAGTAGAGTAGTTTATCCAAGGCTGTCTTGAGATGGGGTTTTGATATATCCAAGAATGGAGACTCCATGACCTCTCTGAGCAGCTTGTGCCAGTCAGTGCTCAGTCACACTTACAGTATAAAAGATTTTTTTGTTACATTTAAACAGAATTTTCTGTCTTTTAGATGATGTGCAGTGCCTCTTTTCCTGTCACTGGACGACACTTAAGAGTATGACTGTATTCTTTACTCGCTCTCATCATGTTTTTATACACATTAATAAGACCATCCTTGAGTTTTTTCTTCTCAAGCTCTCTCAGTCACTCCAATATGAGATGTACTCCAGTCTCTTATATACCTTTGTGGTCCTTCTTTGGACTCCAGTATTCTCCTGTCCACCTTGTACTGGCAAGCCCAGAGCTGGACCTTGCACTGCAGATGGACTTCATCAGTGCTGAGTAGAGGTGGAAATGCCATTCATTTCTGATGGGATGCTGACAGAATGCATAGAGATTGTGGGAAAAGGCATAACAGTAGAGTACAAGCAAAACTGATGCTTGCATTCTCAGTCCCTTCTTCCCAAATATTTTCAAATTGTCATTCATTCTAAATATATGCAAAGTTATTAGGAACCTTGAAGGGAACCTTGCAACTTTGATTTCCTGAGAGAGCAGGAAAATCTGTCCAGTTGCAGAATACGGCACAGTGTCTCCATCAAACCAGCCTAGAGATTAAAAAAAAAGAATTAACAAGTGCACAGTGGTGGTGTTTTGACTTGTTTGGCAGTTTGTTCCCCTTCACTTACCTTTACAATACTTCAAGAATGCCATCCAAACCTGTGTGCTTTTTTTTGTGGGTTTTTATTTTCTTCTTCTGGTTCACTCACCATTTTGGGTACAAAAACAGAAGTCTATGCTCCTTCCTGGCCCTCCTTCTTTTGTTTTCCAAGTGTCTCTGCAAGACAAAAGCTATTGCAAAATGCAACAGTTTGATTCTATTACAGGTCTCTCCCCTCTCCCATTTACCTGGGTATTGAACATACTCATCTCTTGTTTGTGTTCCTCTCTGTTATGTATGTGCACCATGAGAAGCTTGTCCAGTGCATATGCTAAGTAGCTGCGATGTGGATGAAGATCACAGTTTGACAGCCCTTGCCAAGAGGGAAAAAAATGACCTTTTATATCTGTCAGTTATACAAACAGATTTTTACATTGTTTTGTCAAAAGAAGACATGGAAAACAGCAATCACATGAATACC